GAAAGAGTTGCATGTCTGTAGCTAAGCACGGCCTAGAGTTCCCACTCTTTACAGTTCCTGGGGAACAGCACATGTTTTTAACTCAGCTTTACAAACTTCAGAGGTTCTCAGCCAGCAGGAGAGGACTGCTAGTTATGTTGTCCTCTGTATGGCATGTTTCCCACCACTGCAGTTTTCTGATATGACTCCCTCTGTCTGTCATGAGTAAAGGCTCAAGCTTGTGTAAGGACTTTAGAATGGCAAAGTTTACAACATTCTGATCTTTTTCCCTATAAATCAGATGCATAATTAGCAGTTGCTAGCACTGGCCCAGCACCCTGAAATCTGGGAATTTTCTGAGTATGAATAAATTCTGTATTGTATTTATAAGGACAGTTTAACATTAGAATTGGTATTTGAGCCTTGTCAGTGTCATGGCTTGGAGGAACACAAGCACTTGTGTCCCGTGGGGGAGGAATCCTGGTGTAAACAATATAACTCAGCCAACATCCTTTACTCCCTGCCACCACAGAGGAGAATCTATTGTGCAACACAAGAGCAGTAGGCCAGTGCTGTGTTCCATGTCAGCTGCTCAGTGCTCCTCTGCTTGTTAGAAAGCTGGCTTCAGCTGTTTGTAGGGAGATCCCTGGCTGATGCATTGCTCTGGTTTCTCTCAGATGTTCTGCTATGGAGGGAAATTGGTCCATAAAAAGACTTACAGTTTTCCAGGAGGCAAGAATTATCCTAGGAATAGAGGTGAACTGAGTATGATCAAGAATAGGCTGAAACCTCCACATTCCATTGAAACAGGCAGCAGTAAGATCTTGGGATTGCCATTACAATTGACATTTCTTTTCAGAGAGTTGATTGGCAAAGGTAGTCAATGGACAGTGGCTGTAGCCACACTGTACTTAAATTTCAAATAGAGCTCAGCATGAACTCATGAGCTGAGAAGGATTTCTTCATCTGAACTTACATTTGTGACCTGAGAAAACACAGCACAGCTGTGAACTTAGGAATTCAGCAAGTCCTTTTTATTTCTTTTTACCTTTTAAAATACAACTCCCCTTTTCTTTTCATGTGCTACTTAAGCACATCCAGGTAGTGCTGCAATGTGATCGAGAGCATAGTAGGAGCTCATTATTTTTTTTTCCACAGCTACCTAAATATCAGTCCTTTGTGCTCTAAGGGCACTAAACCCCACACAAATTTAAAAAAAAAAAAAAAAAAAAAAAAGTTGAATGTGTCACTGAACCTGTTTTAATGGTTCCCTTTCATCCTTCCCTCTGCTTCAGAGCACCTAGGCTTAATTGTCTTCCTGCTTGTCATTCCCATCTGTTCATGGCAGTTTCTTGAATTCTTTCCATGACCCTGTGCCAGATTTGCAAGAAGAAAGGAGAAACTCTTTGCTAGGACCAAGACTCAGGCCTCAGTTCTGTACTGTATCCAAACTCAACTCTCATCAGAAGGTGATGGGTGCTATGGAATAGGTTATCCAGGAGCTGCTGATGTGTTTTGCAAGTCCACTGTTGATTCAGGATCAGCCCTTCACTGGTTTCGGATTGCAGGGTACATGGGAGGGAACTCAGTTGTAGCTCCTCCTGTAGGCATCACACACAGTTCCCCAACCACCAAAGGGTAGGGCAGGTACAAGAGTCATCTCCTTCAGCTTTAGACTTTTATATACTGCCTCTCCTGAAAAACTTACTTGAAATGTTAGCTCATTTCACACAAATTGCCAGATGCCTAGCAAAAGTGCCCAAAATGGCTTAGTGTTATTGCTGCACATCCATCCATGACTTGGAAAATAGTGTGGTTTATATCATTAGTAGTCTCCTGGGGCAATCTGTCATACTTGAGGTTCTGCTCATGCAAGGCTCAGTATGGGAGCAAATAAAGAAATCATTGCTGTAAACAGTTTTCTAGAAGACAAGATGCATTTCTAAAGCGTAGTGGGTAAGGCTGGCAGTGACAGCATTTTTTTTCTCTCAATCCCTCCACAGTGGAGAATGAAATTTTCTATAAAAAGTCTTTGCCTCTCAAAGGCTGCAGAAATGCATGGTTCTACTTGGCTGATGTTTTTCAGTGCACCATTTCTTCATCCAAATGAGTAAATAATTTGTGGTCACAACATTTTAGCTCAATCGGTTAGCATGAAACATGGGTTTCAAACATACCTCTTTTAGATGCTTCATTTCTCTTTTTGCCTCTTACTTTTAGCAGCTCAGATCATAGAATCATAGAATGATTTGGTTTAGAAGGGACCTTAATCATGTAGTTCCAACCCCCCTGCCATGGGCAGGGACACCTCTCACTAGACCAGGTCACTCCAAGCCCCATCCAACCTGGCCTTAAACGCTCCCATGGAGGGCAAGTCCAAAATTTGTCTGGGCAACCTGTTCCAGTGTCTCACCACCCTCACACTAAAGAATTTCTTCCTAATATGTAATCCAGATTACTCTCTTTCAGCTTAAAACCATTACACATCCCTATAAAAAGCCCTTCCCCAGCTTTCCTGCAGCCCCTTCAGGTACTGGAAGGCTGCTAAAAGGTCTCCCACGAGCCTCCTCTTCTCCAGGCTATAGATCTAGTCAGATCTTACTCTGCCTATATTAACACTGCCCATATTAACATGGCCATGGGAATAGGCTATTAAAGCATAAGTATGGACATGCAGTTGACACTAATGTTTTTCCTGATGGACTCCATTAGCTCTAAACACTTTAAAGATACTGATGGCTTTTGGGGAGCCAGTTTGAGGGGCAACTTCAGATATTTGCAATCTAGCCATATACTTTGTTTCCCAGGTTCCTAAAAGGTGTTAAAATATTCACAGCTTATTCAAAGCTTTGCCCCATAGAACTTGCCTACACAGGCACAATCAGGAAGACTAATCTGAAGTAATTTTAAAGTAGTTAAGATAAACTGCATTCAATCAATGTGCACATAATTATGCAGAATGAAGGTTCCCTTAATCTGATCGTGTGCTTTGCTTTTAAATTGAAAGCCTCTTTAATTCTGAGTAGGAGTGCCTATGCAAGGTTTTAGTATTCTCTTAGTTTGCATAGGGTAAGATGCACAGTTCTCTGAATTCATGTCCTCACTGAGTCTTTTTCAGCTGTGCTGAGTGTGCTTATCATCGTGGCAGTCACATCTGCCCAGAGAGAGGACAGCCTGGCACCATTCTTCCCTAGACTGCCACCCTTTATTTGTCAGCCTTTTATTTGTCATGGCAACTGTGTTGCCTTCTGGGCAGCTCAAGATTCCTCATGAAAACAGCTCTGTTTTTTCCACAGAAATCATCCTTTTCATGCTTTTTCTTGCCCTCATTCAGTCTGAGAGAACGTGGTGTTCTCCCAAAATTGACAAGCACTGTACATCACACTTTTAAAACAGCTGCCTCCCAGAGGCCTTTTGTACTCTGGGACAACTGTAAAATAATCCTGTAAGGTTGGACAGCATTACTGTCATTCCCTTTTATATAAAAATGGAAGACCAAGATAGACCTGAAAGACCTGAACCTCTATTTCCAAAGTCCTTGTTTAGCAGCAATGCCCCTGAAGCAGTTTCCATCTTTACCAGGACATTTGTGCTCCAGGAAAACATTCAGACATGTACACAGACATAAACAAACCCCCCCTCCTATGGACTGGAGGTGTGCATGCTGTCAGACCCTTCTTGTACAAGGAAGGACACAAAATAACCCTCCAAACATTATTATACAGGGAGAGGAATGGCCTTTAAGAAAAACAGAAGCCCAAAGACATGAAAATCATGCCTTTATCTGAAAAACTGAACTTGCACAATTGAATGCAGAGTCTGTCCATGCTACAGATGTAGTCACCTCTGTGCTGGAGCTAAGTCCAAAAACCAGAGCCTTGCTTTGGAAGCAAACTTGGGGTTGAGAACAGAACAGAATGTGTGCGGCAGAAAGAAAAGCATCCACCTTGGGAGGCAAGCACTCTGCCTTTGTGGTTTTGGAATCTCCTGTGTTTATATTAGTTCAGATGGGCTCTCCACCTCAAACGTGGTACATAATGTAGATATGCCTCCAACTCTAGTTTACTTTTGTCCAGTAAGTTAGGCATCCATCCTACCCTGGAAAATGCACATTTGCACCCATGCTGGAGCCAACAATAAAATCTGGATAGCTGTAGGCTCAGGACTCAGCTGGAGTAGTCACAGTTGCTGAGCAAGTTCTCAGCCTGATGAGCACCAGTGCAGTGCTCATCAGGAACTGCCAAGCCTGTTCATCTGGATTGGTGGAAACATCTGCAGAGCAAATCGACAGGTTTTGCTTAAGGTCCAACCCACTGTCCATCTCTGATGCTCCTCCTCTGTTTCAGAATGATGAAGATTATCAATCGACTGCACAAATCTATGATGCTCCTGCAGTATTTCTCCACCCAGTCCTGGGATTGGTCTTCAGATAATATGAATATGTTAATGAGTCACCTGAACACAGAGGACAAAAAGGTAAGTATGTCCTGATGTGGACTGTTTATCTCCAATTCTCTTCACTTGCAACTATTATTTTTGGTGTATTGTGAACTTCCAAATGACATCTGCCTAAATGACTGGAGTATTGACTTCAAGTTGAAATAATTTATTTCCTCCTTGCTTATTTAATAACTTATCAGGAACCTTCAATTTATTATAGGAGAATGTTTTCTCTTCAGGTATATTGCTCTTTCTTCTGATACAGGTCCATCACTGCAGTCTTTCCAGCTAACATGGCAGCTTTCTACCTTGTGCTCTCAGATTTGTATTTGGCCTTTAAACAATCTTCTTGTTGTTTTGTTTTGTTGGTTTTTTTTCCAAAGATAAAATGGACTGTACTTTTTCTTCCATTATTTTTTGTGTGTGTGTGCAATATACACCTGTACGTGTGTGTACAAATACACATATTTATGCACAAATGGCCACCTGAAACACAAACTTAGCTTTCTTTTCTGCCAAATAGCATTAAATTTCTGCTTGCTTTGCCCAAATGCCTGGCTGGGTAAGACACTCATTGACAGCTGTGAAATAACAGTGCTTATGTCTTCTTGGAAACTTGGTGGCTTTATGAACTTAACAGACAGGGCCTTTTCAGGAACAGAGGTCAATGAAGAACTGATGCTTAAAGTTAACTTATTTTTGAATTCTGGCATGTAACTTCTGCTCTTTGACTTTAAATCCCAGGTATACAATTTTGATGTTCGTCAGCTGCACTGGTCAGAATACATTGAAAGCTACTGCCTAGGTGCTAAGAAGTACTTGCTAAATGAGGACATGGCTGGCATTCCAGCAGCAAAGCAGCATTTACGAAAGTAAGTCATACCCATGAGAAGGACAAGACCTCCTGGCTACCTTCAGTGGCTTTTGAGGAAAATCATTCTACTTACATCGTAATAATTGCTTGGTGATAAGCACAGCAGAGCTTATTTCTTAGGGGAGAGGGCTTTCAGCATTTCATTGTTCTATTCTGTAAAAAAATGAGGACTTTTGATGACACTAATGATCAGAGGCTAGACTTCCCAGCAGATGACCAAGTAACAAAGTTACAGTCATATCATAGAATTACAGAAGGGTTTGGGTTTGAAGGGACATTAAAGATCATCTCTCTTCAACCTCCCTGCCATGGGCAGGGACACTTCCCACTAGACCAGGTTGCTCCAAGCCCCATCCAACCTGGCCTTGGACACTCCCAGGGAGGGGAAGTCTAAAATTTCTCTGGGCAACCTGTGCCAGTGTCTCACCATCCTCTCAGTAAAGAATTTCTTCCTAATATCAACCCTCTTCCAGTTTCAAGCCATTCTCCCTTCATTCTTCTTCTCAGTGTGACTTCAGTGTCTACTCTCATCTGAAATGAGAGTACAGGGAACAAGAGACACTTGCAGTACAGTATTCCACCTATCACTTTAACTCTTCACTGTTTTGTAACTTCAGCATAGTCCTTGGTGAGATGGTAGGGTTGTCTTAAAGATAACTGGAATGGCAACATCCCAAGGGCACTTGTAAACAAAATTACCTGTAGCAAATGAAGCAGACTGCTAAGCTGTGTGTTGGTGTTGCCTTCCTCCATAAGATGCCTCTTTCTCTTTCTCAGGCTGAGGAACATCCAATATGCATTCAACACCACCCTCCTGGTGATCATCTGGCGCATTTTCATTGCAAGGTCACAGATGGCTCGAAACATCTGGTACTTTGTAGTGAGCCTCTGCTATAAGTTCCTTTCCTACTTCAGGGCATCCAGCACCCTCAGGCACTGAAGCCATCCATCAGCAACCAGCCTCTTCCCAAAGGACCTCCATCTCCTCTGATCAGCAGCCTATGGGCATCGGGGGCTGAAAGTAGCAGAAAAGTCCACACCCTCCATCAGCAGCCTGAGTTTCTTGTGCACTGTTATATATTCACCTTTTTAATTTCAACTAATGTTTTAATACATGGTGGTCTTTCTTCCATAGGACCAGGCCAATTTTTAAAGCCATAAGTGATGCTTTAGGAAAAGGTCAAGCTGGAACGATTCATCTAAGAGTCTGATGGAAGACTGAGAGTAAGAATTAACCAAAGTCATTGTCTTCCCATGTACTACCTAGGCTATCTCAATCCCATCTTCTTCCTCAAGAGAGGCAAATTTAAAGCATACAACCCAGGAAGAAAAGGAGGCCATAAGAGAAGACCCAACCAAGGAAATGGATCTCTAAGAGGTCTTTCTAAAGAGGCTATTCCTTCATCCTCATTCAGTGAAATGGTACCTTACTGTAAAACAAGATTTCATATTTTCAGTTTTTCAAAACTTAGTGGGGGCAGGAAAATCAGTTACACCTGTCCAGTGAACACACTGAACAGTTTTCAGATCTTGTCTTATATTGCTACCAAGGACTGATACTTCCAAGCCATAACTGAAGACACACATAGAATTCATGTACCTGTGTTAATTCAACTCACAAGCTGCTTTCTTATGGAAAGGTATTTTTTCTCTGTGGTTAAGGTTGCAGTCTGTTAAAATGCCCCATTCTTTTTTGGCTTTAATAATGCTGTATTTGCTCTAAGAATTAAAAGAAGACTTAAAAGATTGAAGAAGAATTCAGAAATTCTCTCTTGTTTTTGAGGAATGGGCATGTTTCCCCCTTCCATTTGTCTGCAGAAAACTTCTCTCCCTGTACTTCAAAACCAGCCCAATAATGTCCTTCATTCTTCCATTACCGCTAAATCATTTTGCAGCTGATCACTTCCACTGGCAATGAGAGGATAAATATATGTATGGAGGAAATCCTACCTGGTCAATTCTGCTGCCACTCCTGTCAGTAGGAATAAAAAAGTCTGAAACTTGGTTTTGTTGAGAATAGGAAAGGCTTAATTGACTTCTGTGATAAAACAATCATGCACTGTGAAGGTAATGTATTTTGTCCTACACTGTGATCAGTGTAGAATGGGTCTTCTGAACACTCATGACTGTTAGAGGTATTTATACTTCACTGGGTATACCTAGTATACCAGTATACCTAGTGAAGTATAAATTCCAGCGGGTGGAGAAAGACCCTTCTTCAAAGTACCTGGGGCAACAACAGCCTTGGTGCAACCACAACAGATTTATTATGCTATCAGATTTTCAAAGTCAAATCAAATATACTGGAATATTTTTATTTAGATCATACTGAATAAGCACTTTAAGCTTATCAGACTTTAAAGCAGGTAATTTTTGAAACAGTGCAGCATCCAGTTTGTCTAGTCTTGGGTCATGCTAGCTGTCTGAAAAAGTAATACTACATCACAAAAAACCAACACAGTTGCTCTTCTGAGAGCAGAGTATTTACAAAGCTGCCATTCTTAAAAAATTATACTTGTTTTTGGCAGTGCAGGCAAGAGCAAGTTGGGATGACAGTATATTTATATCTTGGGCCTCCAAGCAAATTCAAAAGTCTTTCTAAAGCCATGAGCAATTAATCTTCCCCCATATGCCCCAGAGGTCCAATTTCAAGCAATTGCCAAAGGGTGCCTGCAGCAGAACCTGACCATCATGTCCAACATGGCTCTAGCACAGGCCTCTGTGCTTGTCACACGTTACTTCTGATCTATGCTCAATTAGGTCAAACATCCAGTTTACAAAGATGCAATTTTTTTGTTAAGCTCCTGCCTTGAAAGCATCGTTCCAAAGGAAGCTGTGCTGCTTGCTAGCTAGGGGTTGTCCAGCTCCAGCAAGCTGGTAGTGCCTGATGTGCATTGCATGTTAGCAAGGTGTCCCTGCCTGGGAAACCAGGAGCAATGGGTTCAGGTGCTGGGGACCAAACATTTCATCTACAGGGTATATGGTGAAGATCAGCTGCTTTGCAGAGGCTGTGGCTACCTAGGCAGAGTGAGGCAGGTTGCTGTAGGGATTCCTCTAGTAAGTCTGCATTCCCTCAAGTAAATCATCAGCCAGCTTCTAGTCATCTCATATGAAAGGCTAAAGAAACAAATCAAAATATAACAAAACTGCAGATTATTTTGAAACCAACTTAATTTAAAAAAAAAAGGGTAAGAATTTTAACTCCTCTCTTAGAAGTCTTTTTAAGTGCCTGCCTTATGTACGACGAGAAGCAACAGCTAAGGGACTTAGAAGTCTTGTGCTGTGCACATGGTAGACAAAACCTTGAGTCTCACAGAAAAGTGACAACCTGCAGCCCTGCTACACCTACAGCAAGCTGACTGATGCAGACCAGACCTACCGTGAGTCCAGTGTCCTGCCTTCCCTGCCACAGTGCAGGCCATGCCATGCATTCCTCACACAGGCCTGCAGGCATTCAGAGTTACTTGCACAGGCTGTGCTGTCCCAACAAGTCCAAGATACATCTTTGCTCACCGTAAGCATGTCCCAACCTGTTTTGTGCACGTGCAAAAAAAATGCTTAAGGTTTATCTAAGAACAATGGTGATATCATGTTTTAAAGCTCTTTGGCATTTTACTGAAGGTAACAGCTGCAGCTGCTGCTCAGCCCTGAGAAGCAGCAGGACCTGCTGGGGATGCTGCAGAAACATAGCTGTATGCTCTTCTGGAGAGCTTTCTCAGTCCCTGCAGCACTGCCAGCAGCTTCCTCCAGAGCTCTGGCCTTGCCTGCAGGAGGGGGATCAAGCTGTTAGTATTTAACACAGATGTAACATGCATGGAGATGGGAATCTAATCCATTTGCTTGTGGCTTGAGATGCCTTCAGGTAGTTGCCTGAACCATGGAAATACTTCAGAAAAACCTCAGTGCAGAGACTGGCACATGGCAATGGCCCTTGGGTGCCAGTAATGACTGTCATCATGGAGAGCTGGACCTGGCATAAGAACTTGTGTTGTCACCTCAAGCAGTTGATGTTTTACTGTGTGCTCCTCAGCATATCTGCATTTGCTCTGAAGAAGCCCAAGCCTTGGGGAAAATACCTAAAAGAAAACACCAAATGACAGCACTTCCTTTCTTCTCTATCCTGTCTCTTGCTCTTTCAGGTATATTCACAACTTTTGGACAAAAGAAAAGCCAAATGCAGTTCTTACTAAGTTAAATCACGGGTCCTGTGGCAACGGAGCACAAAGTAACTCAAACAACTCAGGAGTGGATATTACTCATAGCTGAAGGCTTAAACTTTTAATACCTGAAAGGCTGAAGCAGGACTCAGGTTTTTGTTTGGTTTTGTTTGATTTTTATTTTTTTTTACCTCCGGAGGGTAGCATGGTGAGTGCTTTGTCTAGGAGAGAAGAGAAGGAGGAGCATTCC